CCCGCGACCCACCAGCGACCAACCCGCGACCCACCCGCGACCCACCCGCGACCCACCCTCGACCCATCTGCGACCCATCCCGTGACCCACCCACATTGTTTTAACAAAAAATCGGCGCCTGCGGCGGGCTCGTTTTTTAGCTTGAAAAATAATGCGCCCGCGGCGGGCTTCTTCAGAGCCTCGCAGACTGCCGACGTACCCGCCGCCCCCTCACTCTTCCGCAACTGCGGGGTGCTACGGTAAAAATGCCGCCCAAACAAATGCGTCCACCCCTGAGCGCCGTGAGCACGTGAAAACAGGTGCCCCGCGCGCACGCGCCAGGCGCATGTTGAATGCCCCCCCCCTCCGCGCACGTATTTATACGCGTGAAGAGTGGAGCCCACCCCAAGTTGGGTTCCCCGCCCGCGGTCCCGTGGGCACGTGAGAACACCCGCGCGCACGCGCCAGGCGCATGTTGCCCCCCCCTCCGCGCATGCTGGCTGCGCCTAAGAATCCGACGCACCCAAGTTCGGTCACACCCTGGGGGCGTGAGCACGTGAAAGCACGCGCCCCGCGCGCATGCGCCAGGCGCATGGTGGGTCCCCTGCTCTGCCGCGCACAAATTTTCACGTGTGGAGACTCCGACGCGCCCCAGGCTGGGCAAACCCCTGGGGGCCGTGGAAAGGTGAGGATGTGCCCCGCGCGCACGCGCCAGGCGCATGTTGGGCCCCCCCTCCGCACACGTAAGTTTACGTGTAGAGAGCCCAGCGCACCCAGGTTGTCCCCCCACGCCCTGGTGGCCGTGGACGCGTGAGAACGCGTGCTCCGCGCGCACGCGCCAGGCGCATGTTGCCCCCCGCCCCCCCAAGTTGGGCCCCCCCCCGGCCCCTTGGGGACCGTGGACACGTGAGAGCACGTGCCCCGCGCGCACGCTCCAGGCGCATGTTGGGTCCCCCCCTGGCCATGTATTGTCACGCGTGAAGAATCTGACGCGCCCAAGTTGAGTCCTAGGGGGCCGTGGACACGTAAGAACGCGTGCTCCGCACGCACGCGCCAGGCGTGCTCTAGTTGGGCCCACCCCTGGGGCTGTGGACACGTGACACCGCGTGCCCCGCGCGCACGCGCCAGGCGCATGTTGGGCCCCCCTCCGCGCCCAAGCTGGGCCCCCCCTTGGGGGCCGTGGGCACGTGAGAACGCGTGCCCCGCCCGCACGGGCCAGGCGCATGTTGCCCCCCCCCCCACTCCGCGCACGGCGGCTATCATACGTAGAATATCCGACACGCCCAAGTTGGGTCCCCCGTTGGGGCCGTGGACAAGTGAAGAGACATGCCCCGCGCGCACGCACCCAGTCGCATGTTGCCCCCCCCCCTTGCCGCGCACGTGTTTTCACACGTACAGAGTCCAACGCGCCCAAGCTGGGTCCCCTGAGGGGCCGTGGACACGTGAGAAGACATGCCCCACGCGCACGCGCCATGCGCATGGTGGGCCCCCTTACCGCGCACATATTGTCACGACGGGCCGTGGACACGTGAGAACGCGTGCCCCGCGCGCACGCGCCAGGCGCACGTTGGGTCCCCGTCCCCCCGTTCCGCGCATTCATTTTCACATGTAGAAAACCCGACGCGCCCAAGTTCGGTCCCCCCCGAAGGGCCGTGGACACGTGAAAGCAGGTGCCCCGCGCGCACGCGCCAGGCACATTGGGCCCCCCCTCTGCCGCGCGCGTATTTTCATGCGCAGAGAATCCGACGCGCCGAAAGTGAGTCCCCCCTTGGGGGCCATGGGCACGTGAAAGCACGTGCCCCGCGCCTACGCGCATGTTGGTCCCCCCCTCTGCGCGCAAGTATTTCTACGTATGAAGAATGTGGCGCGACCAAGCTGGGTCCCTCGCCTGCGGCCCCGTCGCGGCCGGAAACACGCGAAAACAGGTGCCGAACGCACGCGCGCCGAGACTCATGCTGGAGACCCCCCCTCCGCACACATCTTTTGACGCATCCAGTTCCGGCGCCTGCTGCTCGATACCCTTCTGGTGGAGGGCCTCCTCCTCCTCCTCCTCCTCCTCCTCCTCCTCCTCCTGCACGTCCTCGTTCTCGTTCTCGTCCTCGTCCTCCTCCTCCTCCTCCTCCTCCTCCTCCTCCTGCTCCTCCTCCTCCTCCTCCTCCTCCTCCTCCTCCTCCTCCTCCTCCTCCTCCTCCTCCTCCTGCTCCTCCTGGCCCGCAAAACCTTGGGCCAGAACCCTGACCAGGAAAATGGTCCTCTCGCTGCAGCGTGGGCCTCATTTTCGGATCGGCGCTGTGACCCCGTTGTTCAGAATGGCGCTCCCACCCCAGCGTGGGCCACTTTCTGGATCTCACATGTCTCGCAGGACTCGCAGGAACCAAAGTCCCACAGTACCTACAAGGGTCGCAGGTCGCCCCACAGGTCCCACAAGTCCCACCGGTCTGACAAGTGCCACATGTCCCACAAGTCCCAAGGGTGTCGCAGGTCTCGCACGCCACACAGGTCCGACAAATCTGACCCGTCCCGCAGGTCCCACAAGTCCCGCAGGTCTCGCCGGTGCCACGGGCCCCAAAGGTCTCGCAGGTCTCACATGTCACACAGTTCCCACAGGTCCCGCAGGTCCACAGGTTCCACAGGTCCAAGAGGTGTCGCAGGACTCACAGGCCCCACAGGCCAGAGAGGTCCCCCAGGTCGCAGAGGTCCCACACATTTCCCTTTTTTCTGGCTGCGCACAGCACGATGGGGTCCCTGTGGAGTTCCAGGTCAGCCATGACACGCGTCCGCGGATAAAGAGAAATCAGTGCAGTGGGAAAGAATGAGAGGGAGGGATAGGATGTCAGATGATATGGCGCGAGCGCACCTAGGTTGTCTTCCTCCCCCTCTTCCTCCTCCTCCTCCTCCTCCTCCTCCTCCTCCTCCTCCTCCTCAACCTCACCATGCCTACTCATCAACACAATCCTCATCATCCTCATCCTCCTGCTCCTGCTCGTCCTCCTCCTCCTCCTCCTCTTCCTCCTCCTATTCCTCCTCGTTTTCATCTCTATACTCATCTCGCCGTCCCGCCCCCTTCCCTCGTCGTCTCTTCTTCTCCCTGTACCCTCCACTCACCTCACCTTCTTCCCTCCTTCCTCTTCGTTCCTCCACCTATCCCATTCCGCGCAAAGGTCCTCATCCACCTCCTCTCTCCTCCACCTCCTCCACCATGTCCTATACATCCTCCACCTCATCCCCCGCCGCCTCCATCTCCTCTCTATAGTCATGCTCCTCCTCCTCCGAGCCTCCTCCTCCTCCTCCTCCTCCTCCTCCTCCTCCTCCTCCTCCTCCTCCTCCTTCTCCTCCTTCTCTTCATCTTCCCCTGTGTCACTCTCCCCATCCCCCTCCGTCTTTTCAACCGCCCTCGACCTCCACATCTGCCTCCCGTTTTCCCGCCGGTGGCCTTACACATCCAACTAAGGATGTAAGGCACAAGATAGGAACGACCGACCAGGTCTGGCAGGGCATAGCTACGGAATTGACCGAGCTGAACCGGTGCCTGCTGCTGCCGCCGAATGGTCGCGCTCTCACACGCGCTGAGTTCGTCGCCGCGGCTGGCGGCGCAGCCGCCGCGGTGGCCGAACGGACTCTGCGACTCTGCGGTTGCTGCCTCTGCTGCTGCTGCCGCGGCTGAGACTCGAAGCAGGGCGAATTGGGACAACGGCAGCTTAGAATCGGCCCCCAGACCCCTCCCTAGGTCAAAACGCACAAGTTTTCCGAGCTGCGCCCAGACGTGGCGCCGAGAGGGCCGCTCGAAGGCCAACTGCCGTTGTCTTAACGCCCCCTCCTCCGAAACACTGGTTGGATCACAGCTGGGTTGCTAGGGAGTTAGGGGGGTTTAAAGTGGATGCCAATGTGGGCCACATCTGGCGTGGCCTGGCTCAAAAGTGCGTTGCAAGAGCCGTCAGCGACTCACGGGGGGCAAAGATCTGGACTAAGTGGGCGAAGCCCACTTGGCAGAGCTGCCTAACCTAGGGGACCGGACTCTAAAAACCGACGCCTTCGTCTGGCCTCACACTGAATCTCGCACAGGAAAGCGGATCCTGGTGTATACGGGATCCTGGTGTATACATTGTTTGTTGTTTCCCCCGGAAACCAGAAAAACAAGTATACACCACACCACCCCGACGTCGTCCCCGACCCTCAAAAAAGTCCTGGGATTGAAAAACCGCCCGCCACTGGTAACGTATATGCTCCAATTTCCACTTCAAGCACCTAAATCCATCAACAAGCCAAGTTTGGTTTTTCTTTGGTATCGGCAAGTACCCTACCCGACTAACCTCCGACCTCACCGGTGAAACTTGCCCAGCTGTAGCCCAGGGCCCCGGCCAGACTGCAACGGTGCAATCTCGGGGACTTCGGAGGGCTGCGCGTGCCAGCCATGCACTTGCGTACGTGCCTGGAACGCGGAACGCGAGGGGAGGGGGAGGAATGGAGGGGAAGGAAAGGAGGGGAGGAGAGGTAGGCAGGAGGGGAAGAAGCCGCAGAGCCAAGGCACGGACATGATTACACTGTTTCGAATCCAAGGAGGCGGAGGACACCACCGGGGATACGCCTAAAATCGCGGATATCCAAAAATTGCATGATGCTCCAGCTGGCGCTGGCCAGGGTGGACATGTGCCCCCCTGCAAAACGCGTACGACCCCAAGCAGTGCGGCAAAACGCACGCGGCAAGAAACAGAGCATGCCTGAGGCGGTTCAGACCTGCTGGCGCGCAGGCACTCGAAAAATAAACGAAGCACGGAGGGAAAAGGAGGGCGGGGGGACGAAGAGGAGGGAAGAGGGAGGAAGGGGAGGAAGAGCCAGGCTAGGCCAGATGTAAGCCACATCAGCATCATCTTACAACCCCCCTATCCCCATAGCGACCTTAGCGGTGATCCAAGTAGCCGCGCAGCTGCGGCTTCCACTGCTGCTGCAGCTGGTGCCGCCGCTCACGCTGCTGCGCCCGCTATCTCTGCTGCGTCCGGGACCGCTGCCTGCCAGCGGGGCTCCTGCGGCCTCGGCCTCCACGGGGAGGAGCAGCGCCACGTTCGATGGGTTCCAGCTGTAGCCTCGCGCTCCTCCTCGTTGTCGTCCTCCTCCTTCTCCTCCTCCTCCTCCTGCTCCTCCTCCTCCTCCTCATCATCATCATCATCCTCATCAGCATCATCATCATCATCATCATCATCATCATCATCATCATCATCATCATCATCACCATCACCACCACCACCACCACCACCACCACCATCATCATCATCATCATGATCATCATCATCATCATCATCACCACCACCACCATCATCATCATCATCATCATCATCATCATCATCATCATTATCAGCATCATCACAATCATGCTCATCATCATCATCATCAGCATCATCATCATCATCGTCATCATCTTCATCATCATCATCATCGTCATCATCATCGTCATCATCATCATCATCCTCGTCTGCTTCTTCATCACCATCATCAGCAGCAGAAGCAGCAGCGGTATGACCACCATCATGCTGACCATGCTATTCATGCTGATCATGCTGAACATGCTGATCATGCTGATCATGCTGATCATCATCGTCATCATCATCAGCATCAGCATCAGCATCATCAGCAGCATCAGAATCGTAGTCATCGTCATCATCAGCATCACCACCACCACCAACAACAACATCATCAGCAGCATCGCCATCTTCATCATCATCGACAACTACGTCATCGTCAGCACCATCCTCATCATCATTTCTTCATCTTTGTCATCATCACCTTCAGCATCATCAGCATCCTCATCGTCGCCTTCATCATCGTCAGCAGCAGCATCATCGTCATCATCGTCATCATCGCCGTTGTCATCAGCATCATCATCCCTATCCTCCTCGTCCACGGCATCCTCTTGATGATCAGCATAGTCAGCATCATCAGCATCATCAGCATCATCAGCATCATCAACATTATCATCATCAGCAGCATCATCGCCATGATCATCAGCATCCTCAGCATCATCATCCTCATCATCATACTCATCATCAACGTCGTCGTCTTCGTCATAGTTGTCGTCGTCCATACCATTATCGTCCCCTTGACTCTTATATGATATTCCTCCTCATCATCATCCTCATCCTCAAACTGATCATCACCACCACCATCACCACTATCACCAGCACCATCACCATCACCATCACCATCACCATCATCACCACCAACAGCATCATCAGCATCATCATCATCAGCATCAGCATCGCCATCATCATCATCAGCATCATCATCAGCATCATCATCAGCAGCAGCATCATCACCATCATCATCATACTCATCATCAGCATCATCATCATCAGCATCATCATCATCATCATCATCATCATCAGTTTCATGGTCAGCATCAGCAACATCATCATCGTCGTCATCATCATCTGCAGCATCTGCAGCATCATCAGCATCACCACCACCATCATCATCATACTCATCATCAGTATCAGCATCTTCATCATCAGTATTAACATCAGCAGCCGCATCATAATCGTCATCATCAGCATCATCATAATCATCATCGGCATCGTCATCATTGTCACCATCAGCATCAGCATCATCATCATCAGCATCATCGTCATAATCATCATCCACCCCTGTCACCACCATCATACAGGCGAGCTGCGACCATAAGTGAGAAAAGCCATCCTGGGGCTCCAGAAGCGCATGGGTGCACGAGAATTGCCATGGAAGCACCCACCTAAGGAACACTAGGCCCCTTCCGAACCCGAACTGCTCCTCATTTCAGCGTCCGTGGTCATCTGCCACCGTGCCTCCTGGCACGTCGGCAGGCGTGCCAGGAGGCACGTCTACCGACGTGCCAGGAGGCGAAATTAGCCTGACGGAAGACCAGACCATATGTAGCTGCGAGTGTCGCATTGTGGGTACCGCCTTCGGTGGAGCTCTCTATGGGGAACCGAAGCATGCGAGGGGTGCGCCGAAATCGGTGGCGCGGACGCATGCGGACCCTGCCACTGGAGCCTTCGGTGGAGCTGCCTGTGGGACCACGAAACGCTGTCCTGGGTGGCGGTGACGCATGCGGACACTGCCACTGGAGCCTTCGGTGGAGCTCCCTATGGGGCCACGAAGCGCTGTCCTGGGTGGCGGTGACGCATGCGGACGCAGCCACTGGGGCCTTCGGTGAAGCTGCCTGTGGGGCCATTAAGCGCTGTCCTGGGTAGCGGTGACGCATGCGGACACTGCCACTAGAGCCTTCGGTGGAGCTCCCTATGGGGCCGCAAACGCTGACCTGGGTGGCGGTGACGCATGCGGACCCTGACACCAGAGCCTTCGGTGGAGCTCCCTATGGGGCCACGAAGCGCTGTCCTGGGTGGCGGCGACGCATGCGGACACTGCCACTGGAGCCGTCGGTGGAACTCCCTATGGGGCCACGAAACGCCGACCTGGGTGGCGGTGACGAATGCGGACACTGCCACTGGAGCCTTCGGTGGAGCTCCCTATGGGGCCATTAAGCGCTGTCCTGGGTGGCGGTGACGCATGCGGACCCTTCCACTGGAGCCGTCGGTGGAGCTCCCTAAGGGGCCACGACACGCTGTCCTGGGTGGCGGAGACGCATGCGGACCCTGCCACTGGAGCCTTCGGTGGAGCTCCCTATGGGGCCATTAAGCGCTGTCCTGGGTGGCGGTGACGCATGCGGACACTGCCACTGGAGCCTTCGGTGAAGCTGCCTGTGGGGCCACGAACCGTGTGAAGGGTGTGCCGAATTGGGTGGCGGTGACGCATGAGGACGCAGCCATTAGGGCCTTCGGTGGAGCTCCCTATGGGGCCACGAACCGTGTGAGGGGTGTGCCGTAATGGGTGGCGGTGACGCATGAGGACGCAGCCACTGGGGCCTTCGGTGGGGCTCCGTATGGGGCCACGAACCGTGTGAGGGGTGTGCCGAACTGATGATGATGATGATGATGATGATGATGATGATGATGATGATGATGATGATGATGATGATGATGATGATGATGATGATGATTATAATGATTATAATGATGATGATGATGATGATGATGATGATGATGATGATGATGATGATGATGATGATGATGATGATGATGATGATGATGATGATGATGACGATGGTGATGGTGATTGTGATGCTTATGATGGGGATGCTGATGATGGGGAGAGGGAGGGGGGGCAGCGGGAGGAAGGACGGGGGCGCTGTCTATTCAAAACGGAGACCCAACACCACAGGATGGTTGGGAAAAAACGCCATAAGACGTGGTACAATGCCAAGTGACATCCAATAGGGCTTCTGCAAGTGATTATTGCGGACCCCCTGGCCCCACAGAATGCATCGCCGATGCATCGGCGACGTCGGAACGGGGAACATCGGCCGATCGCCGAACATCGCGCCGCATCGCCGATGCATCGGCAACGCGACGGCGACACTCTGACCACATCCGCTCAGGCCCCAGCTGGGTGTCGGGGGTCCAGGGGGCCGGGGCCGTCCTGGGGAAACCCAGATGCTCTGATACCACTACTCCACGGCCCTCTCCCAGGGTGCCTTCTGACACGAATTTCGAGGCGAATCCCGCGGTGGCGACGAGGACCTCCCAGGAGGCCCCCAAAAGGGGAGAACGAGACACATCTGGCGGTATGGGTACCCATGGGTCGGAAGCAGTAGGTAGAAACATGAAATAGGAAGGCGTTGAAAGTAGATTGGGAGTCCGCCCGCCCCCTAAAGAGGACGGAAAAGGTGAAGCCGCTCGACCCTTGAAGTAGGAAGGCGCCTAAAGTAGACTGGAATCTGGGCATCCCAAATTACCTCCTTTCAACGACCGATGGGTACCCTCGCCCACGGGGCGCCGGTGGGGCCCCCGGGGCGCCCGCGCGCAGCCGCGGGCGCCGCGCGCCGAAGCGACGCCTCGGGAGGCGAGCCGCGGGCCGCGGCGGCGGCGCGTGGGCGGGCGGGCGCGCGCGCGGCCGCGCCGAGGGCCCGGCTGCAGGAGCCGGAGTCCAGCGCGCAGGTGACCCGGACGGCCCACGCACCTCGGGCGGCATGGCGAGGGGGAGGAGCAACGACAGGGTGGGGGGGGGGACTGGCACAGAGGGGGGGGGAGACGCACGGACCCTGCAATCGGCGATGCATCGCCGACAGATCGGCCTCAGGCCCCCAGGCCCCCGAGAGCGGAAGCGCACCTTCCTGGGCGGGGGTGGGCTATCAGACCCCCATCAGCGATCAACGCGGGGATGGGGGTCGATGCATCCCCCCCTATGCCTCTCCCACTATATCGTTGCGCCCGAGGGGGGGAGGGGGCCGGTGAAGGGCACAGGCAGGTCGAGGGCGAGGAGGAGGAGGAGGAGGAGGAGGAGGAGGAGGAGGGCCCCCAAGACGCGACTTGATGGGTCAAGAACTGCGAGCGCTTCATAGACACCCGTGCACACGTCCAAGCGATGGGCCTCCATTATGTGCCTCGTGGGCAGGCGTTCTGTATGTTGCTATTCTAGCGTCGGCCAGCACGTCCGCACGCTGCTGATGTATTGCACAGAGTTCGATCGAATATTACACGTCCATATGGGCCGCACGTATTTCGCCGCTTGCGGAATCCATTTAGTGGCTTGTCCATCATGCGAGAGTTGCTAGCCGTATTGCCGACTGTGTAATCAGCTGCGTCAGTGAAGCTCGACACGCTCATTTCCGCAGCAGGTGGCCGCTCTGCCGCTTGCGGGAGAGCCGCACGGTGCTTGAAGTAAAGTCCTACATGATCGAACTCAATTCCCCCAAAGATAGCGTTCTCGGGCACAGCAGAATGTCATAGCCTGGACCACGCAACAGTATGATGGACAAGCAAATGGATGTTCTTGCCATGTCAATTGCCCACGGAATGCGCAAGATCGAGCGCCTTTTTGTTCAATCAACTTGTGAGACAGTGCGCGACGGCACCCGCGCCGAGCGCACGGAGTGGATGTGCACGAGGAGGGCCGAACTTCGGACGATTTCGAGCAGTACGTAAAGCAACACAAGGCACAGGGGCGCTGGCAAGACGATTGATCAGCAATGTGTTAGTGAGGGAGGCACGGGAAGCACATACAACACCCCGCCAGTGCGCCCCGAGCAGCCAGAGTCCAAGCCGCAGTCCAATATCGATGGGCCCGTGCGCAGCATCGGGAATCAGACGGACCCCTGACAGGAACCGCTCCATGGTGCTATCGTGGCGACTAATGTCGGAGAGGGCGGCCTCTACCACAAGGAGCTGGCGAAAATCAACGATAAGGTCGAACAGCTTGCCGAGTTCGCGCGGTCGCTCGCAACACAAGTAACCACATGTGAACCCTATCCCTGCAGGTAAGAGTACTGAAAAACTTGCCGGGGTTCTGAATCTGAAAGATACGCAACCAACTGAATCCGAGCGGGGGTGTCCGATACCCCAGCGCCGAGTGGACCCGCAGAGGTAGGGCTCGCTGGTGGTCGCAGACAACAGATGACGCCAACAGGAAGATGGATAAACCTGGCAAGCTGGACGCCCAATCGTGTACGGTGGAGCACGAGCGAGCAGCGCAGCATCAGGGCATCGCAAATCAGTAGCTCCCGGAGCGGTCTGATGCGACTGTGACTGCGAATGAGGCCGCCAAGTTTGTCGTGGACGAGGTAGTTCAGCAGCGGCTGGATGAAGACGTGAATCTAAAAGCCGCTGACAGAACCGTTCGTCATCCTGCGAAGCACACCAAGCCCGAGTCGGCTGCAGCACCTGTAATGGAGACCAACCGCGAGGAAGGGCACGAGAACTAGGCTAGATCCACACTTCTTGCGCAGCACCTAGGAGGCCTCTGACAAGCAACAGGGCAAGCTCGAGGCGGAGGTCCCACCCTCGGACGAGTCGGGTTCGAGGCAGGGCTGGAGGCGGAAAGCACTCACAGCGAAGAAGCCGAGGCCGAGGCCAAATGCCTTGCGAAGTACGTAGCTCGACTCCTGGCGGAGTATCACTGGGCATCTTTGCGCCAGAGTTCGAGAAATGGCGTCTTGCGGGGACCGCGCGCCTAGCGAAAACCGAGCACCAAGGTGGCCGCAAGCCCGGCCAAACTGGAACACTTGACAGCAATAGCACAGGTATCGGCTTGGGGGGGGGGGAATATTGAGGCCAACAGGAATTGGATGGAGTATCACATCGTCCGTGGACGCATGCAACGGCGTCTCATGTATTACCCCCGCGGCTCTTACTTAACCTGTAAGTCCGTTACCGAGCCTCTGGGCACGGAGAGGGCGTGTCCTCAGGTCCTTTGCCTAATCCCCTGAGCACCAGTCCTCAATCTTAAAGAGTTGCCACATCTCTCTGGATTGGCGCGTACCCCACGGGGCTTCTGGCGGTGTGTCGCGTAACTTTCTCGGGCCCATGAGGGCCCCAAGACGGGCCAAGAAGACTCTCAGAGGCCCCCAAGTCAATCCAAGAGGGCCCCGAGTCGCCGAAAGATCGCACCAAGACGCCTAAGATAGCATCCAGACGGTCAAAAAGGCCTCCAAGACGTCCTAAGAGGCGTCCAAGAGCATTCCCAAGAGGGCCCCGAGAGGCCAACATTATGAATGTTCCATCGGTATTTGATTATGTTGGGGTCCTCAACTGTTCGAGCTTCCGACGCTCCAAGACGGCCTGAGAGGCCCCCAGGACCGCCCCAAGACGGCCCAAGAGGCCCCGAGAACCTGCCCAAGAGGGCCCCAAGACAGCTCCAGAGGCGCTGAAGACAGCCCCAGAGGGCCCAAAGACAGCCCCAAGAAGGGCCCGAGAGGGGTAGCACGAAACGAAAATCCAAGTATTCCGCCCCAAGAGGACCCCAGGAGGCCCCAATGAGACCCCTCAAAAGCCCCCAAGAGGCCCCACGAGACCCCCAAGAGGCTCCGAAGACGCCTCAGGAGGACCCAAAACGGCCCCCGGGAGGCCTCACAACGGTCCCCAAGAGGCCCCCAATGCATCCCGCGACATCCCAGCGAACATCCAAGAGACCTATGACCCACAATCCACACGGTGGCGGGTTGGGCCGAAGGCCATTGGACCTGCTTGGCACGGGGACGGAAAGCGCACTTACTTTCAGAGCGCACGGGATCGCTGGCTCGTCCGCTCTTACATCTCTTATGGACTCCCTTTCCCTCGCTCTTGTCCTATCTCAGCCTCGGAGAGTCGCGGAGCTTTCTTTGAGCGCGGTTCTTGTTTTGGAGGGGGCGGTCGGGTCGCGTTGCGTTTTCCGCGTTTGGGCTGCCAGCTTTCCAGAACCCCGCATTTTCCTTGCGTGGACCGCTCGTTGTCCACGCGTTGCCGCCCGTCCCTGTGCCCTGGCTGCAAGAACTTATTACGCCGCAGCTCTCTGTTGGGAGCTTTGGTCTTATCAGCTCGATTACGTCACCGCTCGCTCTTGGGAGCCGCGGTGCTAAGAGCCTTTGGGAGTATTATGGGCCTCTTGGGGGGCTCTTGGGGAGCCTCTTGGGTGCCTCTTGGGGACCTTTTGGGGCTTCTCGGGGGCCTCTTGGGGCCTCCTGGGAGCTTCTGGGTGGCGGGGGTGAAGGGCTGCCTTTGGCCGTCTTTGGGCTCTCTTGGGGGCCTCTTGGGGCCTTCTTGGGGCCGTCCTGGGGCCGTCTTGGGCCGTCTTGGCACCTCTTGGGCCGTCTTGGCGCCCTCTTGGGCCGTTTTGGGGCCCTCTTGGGGGCCTCTTGGGCATTCTTGGGGCGCTCGTAGGGGCCTCTTGGACAGTCTTGGGCGCCTCTTGGCCCGTCTTGGCGCCCTCTTGGGCTATTTGGGGGGCCTTTTGGGAACATCTTGGGCCGTCTTGGGGCGGTCTTTGGGGCCTCTTGGACCGTCTTCAACGCCATGAAAGGCGAAAAGCCGTATATGCTAGAAATGTACGTTTTCCTTCAGAAAATCAATGATTTTGGCCTCGTGGGGCCCTCTTGGGACGCCTCGTGGGCGCCTCCTGGGGCGTCGTGGAGGCCTCTTGGGACGTCTTGGGGCCGCCTTGGGCGGTCTTGGGCTCTCTTGGAGCGCTCTTGGGCCGTCTTGGGCGCTTCTTGGGCCGTCTTGGGCCGTCTTGGGCGCCGTCTTGGCCGCTTCTTGGGCTGTCTTAGGCGCCTAAGACGGCCCAAGAAGCGCCCAAGAAGCGTTCTCCGATGATGTCTCGAGCGAAACGCTGCTGTTAAGCCCCGAAGGCCGTCCTACTCGATAAAAAACGAGGCGGGAGGGCAATTAGATCCGGGTCCGCGGATGCCAACCCCCTCGAACTACCCCAAGTCCAATTTCTTCCGACTAACGGACCGCACGCTAACGCGCGCTTTCCGTCATCCGCCGCCCCCGGTTGCTTGCAACAGGGGTGCCTGGCGTGCCAGAATATATGGCTTTTGGTTTTGGTCCTTTTTCCAAAAGAACTCCCAACAGAACTCCCCCTGGGGCTTCGGCCCGTCCCGCCGGCCAACCGGAAAGGATCTCAAAACGCGTCCGTCGTTCCTCTGTTTCCTCTAATTGGCCCAAGATGGCGCCAAGATGGCCCAGGATGGTCTCCAAGACGTCTCCAAGCCGGCCCAAGATGGCCTCCAAGACGGCTAAGATGGCCCCAAGATGCCTCCAAGACGGCCCAAGATGGCCTCAATATGGTCCAAGACAGCCCAAAAGGCCCCCAAGAGGCCTCCAAGACGGCCCAAGAGGCCTCCAAGACGTCCTCCAGGAAGGCCCGACCAAAATCCTTGATGTTCCTTAGGTGTTTGAAGGATTTTGGCAGTTGCGCCGTTTCGGCTTTCCGACGGCCCAAGACGGCCCAAGAGGCTCCCAAGATCGCCCCAAGATCGCCCAAAAGGCCCCCAAGAGGGCCTCCAAGACGGCCCCAAGAGGGCCCCCAGACGGCCCCAAGAGGCCTCCAACACGCCCAAGAGGCCTCCAAGACGCCCAAGATGGCCTCTAAGACGACCCCGAAGCGCCGCAAGAGGGCCCCAAGTCGGCCCAGAAAGGCCCCCAAGACGGCTCCCGACGGCGTCGGACGGGCCAGGAACCCACCAAGATGGCCGAAGTTGGCTC